CGGAAAATTACGCAACTTAAGAATTGGACAACATTTCAACTATTTATATGCACAGACCAAAGCAGTAAAAATCCTTAGCAGGCAAACGTTCGCTGGAGGGAACTGCTCAAAACGCATGGTCACACCGACTACCTCAGTGCGCGTTGCTATTTATTATTACGGCTACTGCTTCCAGTCCGTCATAAAGCACAAATACAAAACAATATAACCCAAAAATTTTTTTGAAACTTTCGATAAAAAAATTGACATGCAGTTCGCTAGCCTGGTGCTATGAAATCTGTGTTGAGCAACAAGAAATTCTTAGCATCGTTCAGCCAATCGAGGAACAGCAATATTCGAACATTAAGCATCACCAGAGTGATTACGGGCGCCTCATCGCTCTTGAAGATCATATGAGCCTCCGACATGAGATTACTCCTGCAAAATGAGCAGTGAGACAAATTCACGAACGCACGATCCAATGCATATATGCAGAAACTCACCCTGCTGGTTGTTTGATCGGCAAAGGCAAGAGAATAGACGAGAAGACATTCGGCCTTTTATCGAACTCCATATCTGCAAAGAGAGAAACACATGAACCGGTGTATCTCCGCCATTATCGAGCCGAATTTAGCATTTTTCGAATTGCAGCTTTTTTCGCAGTGTTCTAAGGGTTTTTTTAGAAGAAAAGACGAGCAGTGCAGTTTTTGGTGGCAAACTGGCTCATAAAAATAACTGTCACTAATGTATAAGCGAAACGGATATCAAAACTGCTGCTGCCAGCAAACTAATCAACACTGGTGCAGCACTACAGAAGGCATTTGGTGAAGTTGCTAGCTTCAGAGCTTGAGAATCAGACCATAAAATTACAAGTGGTCCACGTATTAAATATCGTGTGCGACTTTTTGCTCATTCGCATTCGCTCGGTTACTAATTCCAGGAGTGTACTAGCAACTCAGATACATATCACACTAATAAATAAATGGCAACGCGCACCAGACTAGCCGGTGCGATCATGAGTTTTGTGCAATTCAGCCCATCGAACGAGTGCCTGTTAATGATTTTCACTTTCTTGTACTTTAGTCTGTGCAAAAATAGTTCAAACACTGAAAAAACGTTAAAAATTTCACGCACCAGCGTATGAAAGCTGAATTCGAAATCTTGAAGGATGAATATCTTCCCGTGATTCCCGCGTTAATAGTTTATCCGCCAAAATTTTCAAGAGGCCGTAGGTGGTAACCGAGAGCGCGAGTACGCTGAATTAGAATGGGCAAGGTTGAGCGTGGACAGGGGGTCGTTATTCTTAAATTTCAGCCTCCTAGACTCCGAGGTTCCCGAGATATTAACTTACTCGTGAAAAACTTTCACGGGGCCGTACGTATTACCCGAAAGTAAGGGAGGCTGAATTCGAATAGGCAAGGTTGAGGGTGGGCAGGGGGTCATTGCCCTAAAACTTCAGCCTCCAAGACTCCGAGGTTTCCGAGATATTAACTTACCCGTAAAAAACTTTCACAGGGCTGTACACGTTACCCGTGGGTACGGGGAAGCTGAATTTAAATTTACGGGGTCACACGTGGGTGGGGAACGTTA